CTCACATAGTGATCAACAGAAAATGACCTTTATAACTTTCCTATAGAAACTCTATAGAAAATTAGCTCTATGGACTCTATTGAGAACTTTCTATAGAAACTCTATGGTATTTCTATAGAATACATTCTCTTATAGATACTTTTTTTTGGCATTCTATAAGCAATTCTATACACTCTATAAAAACTCTATAGAAATCTAGAGAATTTCTATAGAATTTCTATAAAGAACATTTTCTTAAGGGCAGGAAGCTAGTTGTAACAGAGCGCCAGCGTCCTCGCGCCCTCCTGACTCAGCCCTCCCATGCCGCCTCCAGGCACTGCCTTCGACCCACTACGACTGTCCACTCCCGCTGCAGTCCCGTCCTCGCCCCGCCTCGCTGTCTGACCCGCCGTCACCCCTGATGCAGCGCCCCTCGGGTCTTTGCCTCAACACCCCGCCATCCGCATGACACTCCTACTCGACGGCGCTGAGATCTCCTGTGGGAGCCACAGCCCTAGGCCCCCTACCCCCATTTAGTCCCGTCAGCCAGCCTCTGAGAAATAAGAAGTGATGCCGTTTCTGGTAATTTGCACTTATTTTATTAGTTCAATATGGACTGTGCATTCACTTTTCCTTTCCAAGATCTGAATGATGATGCCTTAACGAATGTATTTACTCCTGATAATGTCGCCCAGGTTATTAGTTTAGAAGTACTAGAATCAAGAACATTTCATTACGTTAAAATCGTCGCCTCTGATGACGGTTTTAATTCTTTTTATTCTCTAGGGGCAGATAATTTCGTGTCTGATTTACTTAACGTGATAAATCCAAATTGTTCTTACGTCTTTCCTGATTCTATTACTCCTAACAGTGCATCTATGACTCACTTGTCTATTATCAGCCATAATATCTGTAGCCTACCCAATCATTTTGAGGAATTTACTTTGCAATATCTACATCCGAATAGTTTTGATGTATTTGGTTTCTCTGAAACTAGAGTAGCTCAAGACATTCAACACCTCTTCACACTCCCCGACTACCATACATACTTCTCGCACCACTCTAGAAACAGCGGTGGCGTTGCCCTCTATATTCATAACAGATTTTCCTCTTGTGGTGGAACTGATCTATCTTTCCAAGAAGATTTTGTTGAGTCAGTTTTTACTGAAGTAACTATTAACAAGGAGACCTTACTGATTGGGCAATAGTATAGGCGCCCTAAAAGTAAATTTTCTCTTTTTCTGGAAAAGATTCAGCTCATAATCGAGACTACCTCCAAAGAAAACAAGTGTCTCATCAGTGGGGATTTTAACCTAGACCTCCTCAAAGCCGACTCTGATAACAAAGTTAGGGAAACCGTCTCCATCTTTAATTCTAGGCTCTTTTTCTCAGCAGTCACTAAGCCTAATAGAGTACAAGGAAACTCTGGACAATTTTTTTAACCAAAATTAAAAGCAAGTGGGGTTATATATTGCAACATATCAGATCATTTTCCTGTTTTTAGTACTTTTAACCTAGAATCACAACATAATGAACCTAAAACCGAGAAAACATTTTACTATCGAAACTATAAAGAATCCAATATAACCAATTCTAAAAGTCACCTTACTGAAGTATGTTTGCCTTTTTATCCCCTCTTTTGAAAGATTTTTCCCATTAAAATGTAAGTCACTAAAATCCAAGTCCTTTAAGAAACCATACATTACATGTGAAATAAGAAACTTAATCAAAGAAAAAATTAACTTCAAAAGAAAATATGCAAAGTGGCCACTCTCCTACGGCGAGACATTGCGGTCTCTACGCAACCGCTTAAAAACAATATAATCGGATAACAAAGGCAGATCATTACAAAATTAAGCTTAATCAAAGTGCAGGTGATACTAAGAAGACATGGCAAATTCTAAACGATGTTCTTCAAGGAATAATAAACAAAAATCTGACAAAGTACTAATAGATGAGAAAGAAATCAATGACCCCAACGTCATTACAAATGAATTCAACAAATATTTTACAAACAAAGACGAAAATCTATCACGATTAACCCCTAATGTGGATGGAGACTTAAAAGAATTTCTCGGGCCCTCCAACAACAACCCCGTGAGCCTGACTCCGATAACAGACAGAGATGTTGTTAATGGCCTTAAAACTTCCGCTCCAGGGGACGACTGCATTCCCATCAACATTAAGAAAATACTTCCTTGCATTCTTAAGCCCCTGAAACATGTAATTACTATATTATTTAGTATGGGAGTATTTCCCATGAAACTCAAGACTGGCACCCCTTGCCTTAATAACTATCACCCAATTTCCATACTAACAGCTTTTAGCAAAATCTTTGAAAAATCATGTCCATTAGATTAACTGATTTTCTTTATGAAAATGATAAAATTAACAATTGTCAGTATGGTTTCTTGAAGAACAAATCATCTGAATTAGCGGTTTCAGACCACAAATTAAACTTTAGAATCTTTTGCTGGTCGCAAATTTACTCTTGCTACATTCTTAGACCTTTCCAAAGCAT